AGTATTGAATTTCTCGCGCTGAAAGGTGGAGGGTCCAAACTCTAGGTTAAAAAAAAAAAAATGCAAATTTGCAAAAGTAAATAAAGTGAGGACTTCTTACCAAAAGGTGAGAAGTGAGAAATGATTAAATAGAGATTGTTTTGATTTGTAACCTAGTTGATTTGAGCTTGTAATCCTTTAGGGGTGTTTCTACACCTAGTGCCCTAAAGCTGTATGGTTTGGGAGTCATTGACCTAATGCTCGCCTCATGAATCTTCAAGAAAGGTTAAAAGATCACGACATTACACCATGCTTCCATCTTTGATCCTAAAATAAAAAAATTAAAAATTAAAAAATTGAGTGAAAATAATAAGTGCACCTGGTTGAATAAAACTTTAATAAAAGGTTCATTCTTTGTCTTGATGATGAGTATTAGATTTGTGTGCTAACTTGAGCCAGATGTGATCATTTCTTTAGTTGGCTTAGATAGCAACATATTTGATGTCGGTTCACTTAAAAAGGATTCTAGAGTTGTTTTGATTTGTATGATCATTGTCTAGATGTGTGGAGGACCATACTTGTTTACTTGGTGTTGAATTTTTTGAAAGTTGCTTGGAGATGGTTGAAAATTTGCATACTTGAGGTAGTTTTCTCCCAATGCTTGTTTTGTATATTGGTGCCTCTTAAGTGAGAAAGAGCTTAATGTTTGCAGGTATCATTTTTAAAAAACCTCACAAGACTTCACTCGTCCACTAGGGGTAACCTAGGGGTTCAAAAGGCTTGTTGCATATACTAAATGCAATCGTGTTCCCTACGAAAGTAGCGTTATCCTTTCATTACTTTCTAGTTTATAGTTATATAGTTGTTTATTTCTTTCTTTTCTTTGTAGTTCATTGCTAGGGACTAGCAATATCTAAGTTTGGGGGTGTGATAAGTGCATAAATGTGATGCATTTTAGCACCCAAATTAGGGTATTTTAGTCCATTCACCTATCTTACTTTCCCGTTTTAGTTCTAATTTGTGTTTTTGTCTATTTCAGGTCAATAAGCTTCAAACAGGCTAAAAAAAAGCCTATTAGCTCAGTTTTGGAGTTAAGGAAAAGATCCAGAAAAAGTCAAAAAAACTTCACTGTTCAAGTTTTAATCGATCGAAGGAAGTCCCGATTGATCGAAGAAAGCTACAATCAATCGAGATTAAGGCGATGCCAGCTCAATGGATAAGGTTGCCAGCTGTCCAAAATATCTCGCCACGTCAGCTTCGATCGATCGAAGTAAGTGTCCGATCGATCGAAGCCCTCTTTAATCGATCGAAGCAAGGGCTAGCAATGAGCTGTTTAATTCCCGAGCACGCTCGAACTCCACCAACTTTGGTAGCTGCGAGTTTGCACCAATCAAAGTGTTTATTTCTGACTTTTTGCCTACTCAAAGAAGCTTATATTTAAATCAAATGAACCAATTTGTATAGGGTTCCAAGTTTTATTTTTACCAATAATAGAAATAACTCTTAGATATTTTCTCTCTCTAGGACTAGGGTTTTGGAGCAAAGCAAAGAGGAAGAAGATAGTGCCTACATTGAAGAAAACCCTCGAGGGTTCCATAACCACTACCATGAGTGGCTAGATCCTTCTCTTGGGGCTAGAGATAACCCCTAGGCTTGCTTCCTAAACTTTGTATTTTGTAATTTTTGGGGATTTTAGTTGTAAATGATGTTTTGATCATAAATAAATATAGATCTTGTGTTTTTACATGATTTGTATGAATTAGTACTTCCAATTGATCTTTTAATTCTATTCATATGTCTATGTATGTTAGAATGAATGGTCATGTGTTTATCACTAGGTTTTATGAGTTTGATGCATGTCTATGTGTGTTAGAATTATAAATCTAGTGATGGTCAAGGCATGGTGCTTAATTGATTACTCTTGTGGTTTGTTTGACAGATCATGCTTATTTTTTGATGGATTGTGCTACCTCCTTAGCTTAATTAGTTTAATTTTCATGTTATTAGCGTAGTGTAATTGCTTTAATTTCCTAGATAGGTAGACAATCCATTCTTCTTGATGGTCCGTGCTTATGAGTGCATGTAGTACATTTCTCCAGATTCTTGTGTATGCATTAATTATAGTTTCATTAAATGGTTAATGGTTTTGTTTGATAGGTTGTGCTATTCACTAGATTGATTAGACAATTTATGCTTATTTGTCATTCATGCTTAGTTTTCAATTAATAGCACACACACATTTGATTTACAACATGAAACTCCCCTTAAATTGACAATTGCTAATGTATAGTGAAGTGAAGCTAGTGAAGTGAAACTTAGCAGTGAACTCTATGCCTCAAGACCTTTCTCTCATTCTCTTTACCTTAATCTATATATTGATCTCAATTTGCATGTTTTTAATTGAATCATTAGTGTAATTCAACCAACCAAACCCCTATTTGATCATTCGACTTACTAATCCAATATTGATTCCGGAGTACCTTGCAAATCCCTTGAGACGATCCCTACTCGCTCTTGTTACGTTAGTAGTAGTAGTGGTAGTGGCTTTTATAAATTTAAACTGGACCAAAAAGGCTTTTTCGATTCGCACTCACTATCACAAGCAATTAGGCATGCATACGACAAGCGCGTACCAGTCTCATTTTTTCCCCCCACTTTCTTCTCCTTATTACACTAGCTTTAATGTTAAAAAATTGGAGATTTATTAGTAAATTGGAGATTTCAATTTTTCTAAAGATAAAATTCTAAGGTTGCAATTTCATGTGGCCGAACATAACCTAAGATTTTTTCAATCTCTAATTCCCTAATTGGCTTGTGCAACAACTTGCAACAAAAACAAAATATTCTATCTAAATCTTATGAATGCACGAGCCAATAATTGGTAGAATTGAAAAAAAATTAGTTCAACTAGAGAAAAGTTCTGAAACTCACCAACTCTAATTCCAAGATCCTAATTCCATACAGCCGAACATAGCCTCAATGCTAAAATTAAAACTCATGAAACAATTAATGGGCATGTTACTAACAACCACCTGAGTATATTCTATTAAAATGTCACTTTAATTTTTTTTTCCCGGCTAAAATTAAAACTTATGAAACAATTAATGGGCATGTTACTAACAACCACCTGAGTATATTATATTAAAATGTCACTTTAATTTTTTTTTTTTTCCCGGCTAAAATTAAAACTCATGAAACAATTAATGGGCATGTTACTAATAAACATACGAGTATATTATATGAAAAGGTCACTTTAATTTATTTTTTTTCCCGCCTAAGACCTCTGTTGGGGCACAGCGGAAGCAAAAGGAAAAAAAAAAACAACAACAATTCAAACCACAACACAAGATATATACATGGTTCACCCAAAATCAGGGTTATATCCACGGATAAGAAGAGAGTCACTATATATGTAGAGATATTACAATAGTAGAAAATTTCAACACCGGACCATACACACAAACTCTTGACCGAGTTCTCCGTGTACTTTACGAGACTCCCTCTCGCCATCAGTGTTTACTTTACCAAACCCATAACTCACCCCTACCATCATCATACTCCTTTATGAGACTACATCTCTCTGAACTCATAACTCTCAACAATAGCCTAAGTATCTATTTATAGAGTCACATATCCAATTCCTTGGTGGACAAGGATTACAATTTCTTAGAGCCCAATACATGTCTCTACAAGAAATTACCATAAAAAATGCACTCTAAAATAGAAACTAATAATAATGGGAATTTGAGACATAATTCCTAACAATCTCTGCCTTGGCTCAAATTCCATTATGTCAATAATTGCTTTTCATGGCAATTGAATCTGGACAATTTCTCTGCAATTTCAATCTTCTCGATCTTACTGCAGAATTCGGATTATCCGGATTATCCCCACTATACGTTGCTCAATCAGTCAAACCCTAAGTCTCCACCTTGACTACTCAAGCTCCATGCCATGTAACCAAGTCGATTGACTCCACCTACAACTGAAGCCCGTTGTAGCACATGTTCAAACTTCTTGTGTTTTTTGAATCTCTTTCACATTTGGCTCTGATACCAGTTGTTGGGGCACAACAGAAGCAAAAGAAAGAAAGAAAAACAACAATTCAAACCACAACACAAGATATATACGTGGTTCACCCAAAATCAGGGTTACATCCACGGATAAGAAAGATCCACTATATATATAGAGATATTATAATAGTAGAGAATTTCAACACCGGACAATGCACACAAATTCTTGATCGAGTTTTCCGTGTACTCCACGAGACTCCCTCTCGCCATCAGTGTCCACTCTGCCAAACCCGTAACTCACCCCTACCATCATCATACTTCCTCATGAGGCTACATCTCTCTCAACTCATAACTCTCAACAATAGCCTAAGTGTCTATTAATAGAGTCGCATACCCAATTCCTTAGTGGACAACGATTACAATTTCTTAGAATCCAATACATGCCTCTACAAGAAATTATCATAAAAAATACACTCTAAAATAGAAACTAATAATAATAAAAATTTGAGACATAATTCTTAACAACCTCAAATTATATTGAGCCGCCGTGCCCATTCTCTTCCTCGAGCTCTCAAAAGGACCTCTTGAATGACTCCATTTTGTTCATTCAAACGTCAACCCCAGAAATCCAACAAATTCAAAGAAACATAAAAGCCTGGGTAACAAATTAATATATTTAAATATTCAGTTTTCTTCTCTAAAAATTCCAATGTCGTGCTAAAGGTCAATTTATGTTAATATTCTAGGCATTTCAAAGGAGACACAAGCTAAATAGAATGTCATGAACTATTGGCAGACACAAGACACAGGTTTACAAGATCGTCCTTTAAAAGGTTAAGGGTCACTTGGTTGGAAATTTCTCATACTTTCCGCTGAAGGAAAGGAGGTTCTCATTAAGATAAATTATTAAATAATCGTCGGATTATTGCTCTTAGGTCGATAAGTAAATGTGTCAATTTTACTTTTTGCTTATTTGTTACCATATGTTTTTTTTAATTCGTCCTGAAATTACCCAATAATTTGTATCTCATTAAAAGAGTCCTGAGTGCGTTGCCCACATGTCACGGGAATACAATAAAGCTCTTGTCCAAACATGAAATTTTCGGGTTTCTAAGACTTATTTATCAGAACCATTCAAAGATCTGGCAAATCAAGTTCAAATATAACATATAAATTCGGAAGGTGTGCGTGTTTTGGAAAAAGCCCAATTCTATTGAGCGCCAAAACTTGTGTATTGAAGTTACATTTAATCACGCATAAAAATTAGAGCCGTCAGACAACTAAAATGAGAATAAGTTTTCACTTATTTGCCATCCAAATCACACAACGGAGGCACTTTCCTTCATTTAGGAAATCAAAAGCTTTGTTGATGTCTTCAAAGCTTATCTCATGTGTGACAAATTGATCTAGTTGAAGCTCCTGAAGTACAGAAAAAAAAAAGAAAGAAAGAAGGAAAGAAAGAGGATTAACTACGTAGAAACATAAAGCCAACTAAATGATCATACATTTGCTTAAAACTTCCAAAAAAAAAAAACAAAAACAAAAAGCAAAATAGAAAAACAGAAAAAAAGTAAATAATAACAAGTGACCACATCCTTGAATATATTCGAGAGCGGCGCACTTGGAACCTTGGATGGAGCCAATTAAGGGGCAGCAGGGGGCACATGCTCCCGTCAACTTTTAATTTTATTTATTTATTTTTGTATGTATAATATTTTAAAATTTTAAAACAGCCCCCTCAATTTTTATATTTATTACATTGTGTCCCCTGGACAGAATTACTGACTCGACTCGGTCCCTGCTTGGAACTTGTAATGAATTCATAGTATGAAAAATAGGAATGGCTCTTTTAATTCCATTACTTGGAACAACCAAATATAATTAATATGGCCAATTTTAAATTTGCCATCAATAATACAATCATCAAACAACCACAAATAATAATAAAAGAAGAAAAAATTAGAATAATAATAAATAAAAAAAAGGACAGCACAATTTTTGAGGTTAAAAGCCCAAACATCTAAATCCATGGAAATTTCCGTCTCAAGCAATCCAATCTGCTAAGGTAGACAAAAAAAACAACTTTTACCCGAGTTCATATCCCAGTCTCTTAAGAATTATTTATTGTTGATTTACCTCTAAAATATACACAAGAATTCTCATACGTATATGAATTCTAAGAGCAAGAATTCTATTCAAAAAGTGAGCACAAAAAGCTAAATATGTAATATGAGCACTAATATTTTTCAATTGTCGAAAACTCTTCTCTTATGAAAATGCATGTAAAGTGATGACCGCTGAATGTTGCACATTCGAGCCCTTAAAGTTGCATATCTTAGTTCTTTAGTAATACACTTTTGTAGTTGTACTTATATCATTTACTTGGTTTCGGTTATTTTCAGGTATTCATCGTCAAATCTGGTTAATTCTACCGAATCCAAGCCTTTAATAGTGCTTCCAAAGACTCGGCGTGTTCGGGAACGATTTTGGGCTTCAAAGAATGAATAAAGCAAAATTGTGAAGCCACGATCGATCCTAGCTTCCCTAGGATCGATCCTAATAACTCCAGTATTCATATGCACATATTGCAAGCTTCCTGAAGACAAAATCTCTCTGCCAAGGTTACGATCGATCACGTCGGTGCATAGGATTGATCGCAACATCCTACGATCGATCCTGGACATATCAGATTTGAATCCTAATACTTCTAGGATTTACATGTTTAATTCCCTTCTTACCATATATGGGCCGGACTTCATCAAAGGCTTATGGCTCACATTCAGGGCTCGGTCTGGAGCTTATTTAGGGTATGATTACCACAACTGAAGGGAGATTTTGGAAGATTAGAAGTCTAGAGAGAGAGATTTGTGGCTCAAGGCTTCTCTCCATTGTTGAAGGTTGAAAAAGGTGTTTCAATAAGAATTGGTTGTCCATGGAGATGGCGTTCAACACATCATTGAAGATTTCTTCCTTATCCATGAGTAGCTAAATTCCCTCTTAGGGCATTGACCCAACCCTAGCCAAGTAACATGTGTTAATTGTTTTTATTTTTGGGTTTCTTTTCTAGATTATGTATATTGATTGCATGATTAAGAGCAATTGACTTAGTAGTACTAAGAAATTGGGATTTAATGATAAAATCTCTATCTTGGAATTAATTTTACTTTAATCAAATTCAAACTTGTTTTATTGTGTGAGAGATTGGCAACCAAGGGGTTCTCTTAACGGTATAAATAGTCATCATGCAATGCTGCTTAAACGAATATATGAATGAATAGTTTGATAATTCATGCCGAGGGAAGACGGGTTGTACTGCAATGTAGATTAGAGTACTTAGGTAAACAATCTATGCCAACCAAAGATGAGTTATGCTTACTGTTTATTTATATATATCTTTCTATTTGAACTGGAAGTGAGCATGATGCCACTCGATTCCTAAATATACATAACTATGAATTTCCCCAGAAATTACTGCAATTAACCATGTTTTGAGACTAGTGGTGAAGTCAATCCCTAAGTTCCTCTTCTCTTGATACCTATTCTATTTTAACTTTTAATTTTAATTTTTAGAAATAGAAAACACAATCGAATACTTTCTTGAATTAAATTTAGAATTAGTTTTATGCTTAACAATTCCACCATAGTCCTTGAGGTTTGACGCCATCTATATAGCCCTATCCTACAAGAATTTGTTCTATTGCGAGTGGTTTATCATTAATAAATACAACACATCAATTTTTGGCTCCATTGTCGGGGATATCATGTACTCCTCTTATTCCTTCTTGAGTCTCCTTATAAACTTGAGTTTAAACCACCACCAAATAAGCTTAAGTATGTTTTTTTGGTTCCCAATGGAACTATACTGGTTCTCATTGCTTTAGATTTCACTAATACCCAAAAGAGTAGTCTGTTAAGTGTGCTTCAAAAGCACATAGAGGCCATTGTGATGAAGGAGGAAGTCAAGTTGTTGGATGCGGGCTAGAGAGTGGTATTCCATCTGCTAGAGACGTTAAACTTAGCACACATGGGGACACATTGTGTCTCTATTGTAATTATAGTATTAGTATAGTTTTTCTTCTCTTAAAAAAAAACAATAAATAAACAACCCCGTCAGGATCGATCCTAGCCATCGATCGTTAGTACTCCAGAGATTTAAGGGAACTCCAGGTGTATACAACGTTACGATCAATCATTCTTTCCTAGGATCGATCGTAACCTATCAAGTGATATTAATGGCACCGTTACGATCGATCGTCCATCCTTAGGATCAATCGTGAACGGCACAGTTGGATCTCTTACATGGCTTATACCTTTTGTTCTCTATACTTATTTGTGCTTGTGTGATTATTTGTTTACCCCGATAGGGGAACTTGTTACTCTTATATGGTTGCCGAGTGATTTCTTTTGATATGTTTTTGGATTCAAGTTTGGGAGTGTCCACCTTGCTTACTATTTTTCCATTACTTATCCGGTTTGCTTTCTATGATCCTCTGTTGTGCCATGGTAATATTGTTCTATCTCATTCTATTCTTTTTGTTCTCATTGCACATTGAGGACAATGTGCGGTTCAAGTTTGGGGGGTAAGGTATTTTACATGAGTATATGAGATTTAATTGAAATTGAAATTGAGCATGTTTAACAATGATTTTTGATTTTGTGAAAACCACTGATATCCCATACTGATTTTTTGATTGATTATTATATATTGTATATGGATTAGTTAGGGTTACAACTCGGGCAGGTTGGCCGGGTTTAAGGTACAACTTGAGCCCAACCCACCATATAAAATGTTAAACCCAAGTCCAACCTTAACCCTATTTTTAACCATAACTACTCGATCCGAGCCCGGTCCATCATTCTATTTTTAAATTCGGGCTTGCAACTCGGGCTTAGATTCTGAGTTAATTCGGGTTACTCATATAACTAATCTTCACATTGAAAATTTAATATGATCTTAAATTATTTTTAGATTAAATTACTCTTAAACAAATAAATAAATAAATAAATAATGTAAATTTTTAATAAATTACAAACAAATTCTTAGAAAATTAATTCTCCTAAATGTTAATATACCAATAAGCTAAGATTTAACAAAAGATGTTGAAAAGAAAAAAGGTAATCATAATTTAAATATTATATATAATGTATTTAAAAGTAAAAATATATATGAAAAGAATTTGGGTTCCGATCCAGTTCCGGTTCGGGCTCGGGTTGCTAGCACCTCAACCCAAACCCAACCCTAATTAAATTCAGGTTGAGATTTTTCAACCCAAGCCAAACCCTAATTGCAAAAATGACTGCCCAATCCCGTAAAATATCGAGCTGGGCTTAGGTTGGTTTGGGTTGCCTAACCCAAGTTGCACCCCTAGGATTAGTTGCTATTCTAGGATAAATTGAAAAAAATTTGACATCGTTTTTTGCATCTAGTGGCCCATAATCATTGATCTTGTTGACTTTCTTATAATTTTTTACCTTTAGAGGACTTCACTGTGCACACAAGCACACTTGCATCTATCCTATGGGGTATAAACTTGACATCGTTTTTATATTGTGTAATTGACTGATACGAGTTGGTGAATTTTTTAATTTTTGATAACCTTGGCATAATAATGGTCAAGTATGTAAAATAGGTCGCTCTTTCCACCAAATAACTGTGACTCTTGCCTCAGTAAGCATTGAGGATTCACGTCAAAAAATGGAGGGTTTAGGATTATCACAAGCAGTCTAAGAGTCAATTTGGATTCGTAGCCTATGTAATACCCCTAAATTTCATGGCATTTATTTGTTTATTTTAATGGCATTTAATTTAATTATGTGGCTATGTGTTTATGTGCAATTGTTGAATTGTTAATGTGTAAATTATTATTTAATTAAAATGCTTATTATGATATGCTTAATTGTTTAATTTTATATTGTTTATTTGTTTTAAAATGGTTATTTGATTTAGTTATTTGTTTTATTTATTTTTTTTTAAAGCATGGGTTGGGCTTATAGTATTTGGACCAACTAGATGGGTCTTGGATTATTTAGAAGGAATCCTAGATGAGTTTAGATGTTGCCCATGGGGATATATATATATATATATATATATATATATTGTGTTGTATATATGTGTATATATATATCATGTATTTATTATCAATATTATTATTATTATTATTATTATTATTGTTATTTTAATTTTTAGGATTAGGTTTATATGCAGTATATATATATATATATATGTATGTATGTATGTGTAGCTATGTGAAGGTTAGAAAACTCGTATAAGAGAAAGCAAATAGAAAGAGAGAGAAAGAACGGCTAGAGGAAGAAGAAGAAGAGTGAAGGGCTGTTCGTGGAAGGACCACCAGTAGGAGAGGATGACGGTAACCCGAAAGCTGCCGGCGTTGGAGAAAAAGAACAAAGAAGAAGAAGTT